GGGGGGGGGTTAAAAAAATAATTTATTTACTTATTTCATTTTTATGTCGCCTTTCTCCCAGAAAGGGATTCGAGGCGTCTCAGAAGACTAGAAAGGATAAAGTTGTGTGTCTTCAAGTCGTTTCCCGACTTATGGCGATCCTATCATGGGTTTGGTTTGATTGAGGGGGAGGGGGCGTTGGATTTTGCCAAGATTTGTTCAGAGGCTTGGCCATTGCCTCCCCCGAGGCTGAGAGAGTGTGACTTGCCCAAGGTCACCCAGTGGGTTTTCCAGGGCTGAGCTGGGAATCGAACCCGGGTCTCCAGAGTCGTAGTCCAACACTCAAACCACTTCTAAGAAAGAAAAAGGAAAAGGAAAGGAAAAAAAAGAAGGAAATTGGAATTATTTTTTCCTTCCAAGCATCATCTGTCAAAACCAAAACCAACTTCTCTTCCTAATCCTAATACTCTTCACTATCCTCACCATTTCCTAAATCAGGACAAGGCTTCAAATACTCAAGATCCTGTTGAACAACACAACCAGCAGCCATTGAAAGCCACTCAGAGTTTGTTCCTTTTCCATCTTTGGAAATTGCTCCTAGTGATAATAATAATAATAATAATGATAATAATAAGTGTGGAATTACAGGGATTTTGGTGGTGACTGAGAGGGGGAGGAAGGGACGAACACCCAAGAAAAAAGGAGGAAAAGATTACAATCAACTTGACAAAGTTAGAGGAGGCGACCAATTGCTGGATCATTAATCACTGTAAACACTGTAAACTGTGTCCCCACTGGAGAAATAATCCACTTTGACACCACTTTTAAGTGCCATGGCCCCATGCTATACAATCCAGGGAATTGTAGTTTCTTGTGCTACCAGTACTGTCTGGCAGAGAAGGCTAAATGTTTCACAAAACTACAGTTCCCAAATTCCATACCATTTTACTGAATTGAATTGTTTGTTTTAACCTCTATTGATTTAATACTGTTTAAGGGGGGGAGGGGTTTCTGGGATTGGGTACTGTATATGTTTTTATGGTTGTAAGCCGTCCTGATTGGGTTACCAAAGGGCGGGATATAAATAAATTTTATTATTATTATTATTATTATTATTGTTGTTGTCAAACTGGATTGTTTCTTCAGTGCGGACACAGCCTTAATTGCTAATGAAAGATCCTGGCTTGACATGTAGGGCAGTTGCATGTTGAGTTTCCAGAAGCCAAAGGGAGAAGGGGTAGAGAATATTAATGATCCTGGAAAAGCTTTGTGACATTTCTTTGTCCAGCCTTTCCCTGCAAAGGGATTAAAACTTAATTCTTTCCTAACTTGAACTAGGGTCCCTTCCTGTGACTTTTTCCCCTCAACTCAACAATGTGGGCATTAGTCCTCCCCTATCGATGAGACTGATGCAGAACTCATGATGCAAAGTCCCTGAAAGATGTGGCATGGGAGGAAGCATCATTTGCTGTGGCAGAAAGATTAGGACTGGCATCAATGCAAAGCAGGGTATCATGTTCCCAATCCTCTTAGCCAGTCAGATCTCCTTAGCAAATAATGGGTTTGGAGATGAAGGGAGGATGGAAGGATGTTTAAGAACAAATCTTGTGTGTGGTACTGAGTTGCTAGAGTAGCAGACACTCTACCAGCCTGATTCTGCAAGGTTGACTCTACCAAAGAGTATGCAAAGGGATCTTGTAGCACCTTTGAGGCTAAAGAGACAACTTCACTGCAAAAATAATCCAGTTTGATACCATTTTCACTGCCACGGCTCCATGCTATGGAATTCTGACTATGGTAGTTTGTTGTGTCACTCTGGTGCCACAACAAACAACCATTCCCAGAATTCCATAGCATGGAGCTGTGGCAGTTAAAGCGGTGTCGAACCGGATTATTTCCATAGTGCGGATACAGTGGAATGGAAAGAAAGAAGTTGGTAGCACGCAGCCAACTTCTTTCTTTCAATTAGTCTCAGCGGTGCTACAGGATCTCTTTGGAGACTGATTTTCCAGACTAACAAGGCTATGTCTTTGAATTCTTCCACTTAAGAGGTCTGCTTGACCCAATTAAACAGTTTCAGACCCTTTGAAGAATGTAATACAACTCTTGGTGCTTCACTTTGGAACTGTGATTCAAAGAGGTGTGAGGATAAATCAAAATATGTGGGGATGCTATGTGCCTTGGTTTCCAACTTATGGTGACCCTATCATGGAATTTTCTCAACAAGATTGGTTCACAGCCTTCCCCAGAGGCTGAGAGGATGTGACTTGCCCAAGACAACCTAGTGGGTTTCATGGCCGAGCTGGGAATCGAACCCTGATCTCCAGAGTCAGAGTCAAACACTAAAACCACTATGTCATGCCAGCTTACACATATTAAAAATTCTCATAGTTGTGCTTTTTTAAATGTGATTTTCTGTTACAGTAAATAAAGATTAAATTCCTAATTAAGTGAACGTACTTAGCATGAAATGTTAATTCAGTGTGAGAGGTAATATTTGATGGTGTACCTTTTTTGTAGTTGAGAAAACAGTCTTCTTATCTGTATATCAAAGAAGGCTAAAGGTTTCATCATAGCATTTTATGAACCATATTCTTCCAAGATGCAGATCTAAACTAAGGGCCTTTGCAGACTGCCAGAAATATTGCAAATTGAGTCCACTTTAACTGCCCTAGGGAATCATGGGAACTGTAGTTTATTGTGGCACCAGAGCTCTGACAGAGAAGGCTCAATGTCTCAGAAAAAAAATACAATTCCTAGCACTGAGCCAGGGCAGTTAAAGTGACCTCAATTTGCACTATTTCTAGAAGTCTGCAAAGACCCTAAGATGGGCAGCAAAACATAGAAATAAACACGTCCTTGAATTAAACTAAATAATCTGAAAGGAAAAGTATTAATGAATAAGCAGCATGCTGATAACTAAGTTGCCATGTATAATAAGTTAATGTAAGCATTAAAATCACTTCCCACATATTCCTTAACAAAGTTCTTATTGTTGGAATATTTTTTTCTGCCAAAACTGAGCAATACATATTTTAGCTAACATGAGTAAAGCACTAATCATCTATAAATCAGCTTTGTAGTTGTATTCAGTACACAAACAGGATAACTTTGGGATTTGGAAGTAAAGTATACCCTGTTAATAATTAACTATTGATAATTCAGAGTTCCAGAATTTTTAACTTTTCCTGCATTCCCCCAATATATTAAGATAGCCAGCTTTTGGAGTTTCACATCTTCAGTAGAGCACTGTAACAGAGCATTGATAGATCTGATAGACTGATAGACTGATATATGAAATAGATGATACAATTTTTTTAATGTTCTTGGGGCTTTGTATGTTCTTAACCTAGCACTGTGATGGCAAATCTATGGCACATGTGCCAGAGATGGCATACAAAGCCATTTTTCCTGGCAGAGAGAGGCAGCTGAAGG